AGCAGAGGCGAGCGTGGCAGGGCAGGAGAAGTGTGAGGTCCTCACCTAACAACCACAACCAGAACAACTGGAACTGCCATCACTAAGTGGTGTGGTCATGTGATGTTTTGCCTAACGACTGCTTCCCTTAGCAATGGAAACTCTGGTCCCAATTAGGGACATTGAGGACTATCTGTAGTTCCCAATTTTCCTGAAGATCTATAGTACATATTTCTCCAGCATAAATAAAATATTTTAAGCTTTACAGAAGTCAACAAAAAATCTCCTAGTGATGCATTGAGTTAATTCAACACTTCAAAAAATATACTGCAGTACTCTCACACAAGTTGAGATTATGACTCTGAATTCATATGGATGCAACAGGATAGTTCATTAATTAGTTTTATGAATTAAAGTTGTATGTAAACTCACCAACAGATGTTTGCTAAACAGTTCAGTGTAGCATGTGAACCCAGTACTGATTGTTTTGTACAATCAGTACAAAATATCAACAAGCTTTATGGACTAGGTTCATGTGTGCCATACCAAATGTTTAAAACATGATTTAAGCCATAATGCCCTGATTCTCACATAATGGTAAATCAAAATGGCTGATTTCAAGTACTGCTACCCCAAAATTAATAAATTACAATATATCCTCAATTTTACTGACCCACCTCCACTCAGCAGACTTCAAATAAAGTTTTAATTTGGACTTTACCCCCTGTCCCAGCCAATAATGGATAAATGCATTGTTTTCAAATCAGTCTGGACAACTGACATAATCTTGTCTTATCATCTTGCATTATTTTTGTAAATGAATAAACTATACAAATTACATAATTATGCAAATCTCATAAATTGACACAAATAATGTGAATTACGCTAGTCACTTAAAAATGGAAATAAGTGACAATTCAGCTTTCTCAGGCACCCTTTCCCCTCAACTGGTCTGTACCATCAAAATTTTACTGTGCATTATGGTTTAGTGTGATATAGGAAGTCAGCCATAACATTAATATTTATGAAGTAGTATCTGACAAATGCATTTACGTCAGGGAAATTGACTGATAATTATGCAAGATAATTAAAGGAAAACAAGTTCATCTTTCATTATGGTAAAGAAATCTTTGAACAAAATTATTTGCAATTATCAGAAAGCACATACCTTAGAAGTACTGGAACTATATTCCATAATCCAAGCCATATACCATAATTTTCACAAGCTTTCATGTCCAGAAATTCAAATTTATAAATCCAAGTATTGATGTCTTCTTTTCTTTGGTCTGTATTTCATTCCATCATTTGAAGGTTAATAAAATAAAACAGCCAACTCGCTGAACTTGATAACAGATTTAAATATAGCATCTTGGTAGACATTCTGTTTCACTGACATTCACATTTCTTACCTATTCAGTAAAAATAAAAGGCTGCAAACTTAAGTACTAGCACATATTAATACTTGTACTATACAGACCATAACTGTAAGCAAATTCACTAGCAATTTAATCTTACTAAATTTTCAGCAGGAACTATTTTCAATTATATTGAATATACTTACTCAGGAATAAGTATACTGCAGGTATAATATACTGGTAGTCCTCATTTAGCAACCATAATCAGGACCAGCAACTTGGTCATTAAGTGAACCGGTCACTAAGTGAAACTGTGTCTGTGCTTACAATCTTACTTTAGCTTTCCTTTGATTTACAGACCTGCAAAGGTCGTAAATGCAAGAATTGGTCGCAAAATTACTTTTTCATTACCATAACTGAATGGTTGCTAAATGAGGCAGTCAGTAAATAAGGACTACCTGTATATCTAAAGATGAAACTACAGAGCCCAGTAAATGCATGTCCACTCAGAATTAAGTCCTACTAAAGTCAATGACAGCAAAAAGGGTACCAGATTTCAGACCACCATTCTTGATCATAATTGCTAAATAACAGGACTATTAAGCATCGCCGAGAGTTGTTTTCTTAAGAGCTGGCGTCATATGTTATGCTTTGGAGCTCTTGTTTCAATCTGCTTAGGTAACTCACATAAATTACAAAAATTAGACTATCACTATCATTAAGTACTTAGGTGAAGTCCCAACTTCAGGCTCTCCAAATTCATTAAGATGACAACTCATAGATATTCTTGATGGCTGAGAAATTAAGAAGCTGCGGTCTCAACAAACATGGGTGGTCCCAGATTGAAGAAGGCAGCTTGTTTACAACTTTCTTAAGAGTTACATTTAATTTCAAATTACTAGAAGATTGTTTATAAGGCATTACTAATACATAGTTACAATATTGAGTAAAAACTGATGAGTTGAAGTATAGGTAGTCCTCATTTAGCAACCACAATTGGTATCGGCAACTTGGTCATTAAGCGAAGTAGTCGCTAAGTGAAATTGCAACTGCGCTTATGATCTTACATCAGGTTTCTTTTGCTTTACAGACCCGTGAAGGTTATAAATGTGAGAATTGGTTGCAAAGTTATTTTTTCATCACTATTGTAACTGCAAACGGTCATTAAATGAGGCAGTTGCTAAATGAGGACTACCTGTATGTAACCCTAGAGATACTGTCAACAGATAAAAACAGTGAATGAGTGCATCCTCCAATCTTAGCTTTAATAATTAAAGCTTTAATTTGGATAATCTGCACACATTTATATATGTTATATTATCCAAAGTACACATCACACTGACTGGGTTCACAAATCATGCCAATCCACTTCATGACTTGAATCTTCAAAACGAAGAACCTGCAGAATTACATATTGGCCCAGTATATATCCACTGCAGTTTCTAAGCTCCAAATCAGGGAAACAGCCATCTAACTTCCTAGGCTCGAATCCTCTGTTGTCAAAGAAAAGTTCTAGGTGTCAACACACAATAGATTGGTTGAAAGGTAAGAAAAGAGTATCTGAGAAATTCCTGATGAGAAAGACATCACCAAGATAGACAGATTAAAGTCCTTAGAAATCCAAATGGGATTTTATGCATAAGTAAATAGCAAACAAGGTTTTATGTGCAGACATACACAGCTGCATCCAAAGTCTAAACCAAAAGATTACTGTATATTCTACTATTATATGACCCTAACAAAGCTTAATCATACAACACAACCAGAATGCCAATAGTTTGGCTGAAGTATATTGCAAGCCAGGATCTACTAGTAGTTACAAAATTAGAAAATTCCCCAACAAATTTCAACTCAGACAAGTGTGCTCCTCCACTACTACAATATAGTAGAGCACCTATGTTCACAGCAATTTACTTGTTTAGTGTTTTGTATGAATACTACACTGTAGCTTATAAACCATGATTTATGGTTTGTGTTGCTTCAATCCAGTTCATTATGGCTTATTTGATAAACTGTTAAGAAAACCACTGTTTGTTGCGACATGCAAAACCATTCTAAAACCCCATTTACGCTACAAACTGAAACTTTATAGTACCTCCCCAAATCTTTTTTAAAGTAAAGTCTGGCGAAATGAAACTTGCATTAGAGTAATCCACCCCATTCCAAAGCCTTTCAGATTTTAACTACTTCTGTGATTATGTAAAATTGTTTGTGGGACTTGTAGTCCAAAAAAATGCCCTAGGACAGGGAAGACTCCATTAAAAAACCTTAGTCCACTTCAGAATGATAGGGAAACATGGTAAATTTATAGTGCAGGCACAGCATAAAAAGAAAGGAATAAGAAACTGATTAGATAAAAACTACCGAAAACTCACAAAATACAACAGAATGCTGAAAACTCACAAAATATCACAGAATGTGTAAGAGAAAAAAGTTACAGAATAGATACAGTAAATGGAATATAGTATGGGAAACAAATAGAACAATGGGATGGAGAAAAATGATTGCAGAAAAATAATAGGATAAAGCTAAACAAAAGGAGGAGCAGAGGACAACGAATGGAAAGTAAGCAAATAAAAGTCCCAGAACATAACAGAGGGGGGAAGATGCCAAACAGAATTTTCAGAAGTACGCCAAGAAGCTAGAACAAAACTGCCTGAAAATCTCCATCTTAACAGTGGCCTATGTGGGCTTATAAAATGGTCCAAGACCAAGCATCCTTCTTTCCCAGTACAAAGAGGCATCTGGTGGTACCATTCCCATACAAGTCCTTCCTCCACAGGAAAAAGCCACCAGTCACCTGCATTCACTGTGGACCACTTCTTCCATATCCACACTTTCCCTTCAATTAAGCACTGATTTTTGGGGTTCCACCAGCTCCACATACAAGAATCCCTCTTTCACTCTACATTTAGAGAAGACGCATCTCAGCAGGCAATTATTTTCTTCTGCCCAACGCCCAAACTGCCTTACATAAGCAGATCCAGCTTGACCACAATGGACATCAGCAAAATCAACCTATAAGACCTGGGGCTGATCATCAGAGTGAAGTGGATTTTACACGATGCTGTGCTACCACTTCCAGAAAATCAGAGTACACCTTCCATGTAATACTTGAATTACAAAGGAAGAAGAGAGAAACGTATATCAACAGCTCACCTTCCCTCTCCTCTAGCTTGCGAAAAATAAAAATCAAGATTCTTGCAGTAGTTGTTGGAAAAGTTTGCAAGTCTTTGGGAAAGTTCAAGAAGTGAAAGGAATACACTCTTGAAAGACCAGATAACGCGGGCGGGGAGATGAAGAGTTCATCCGAGTTTCCTCTTTTGTTCAAGCTCCCCGATCAGACAAAGCAGCAGCGAGCAGCAGGTTTCTCTCCTTTTCCCTCCCTTCTCTCTTCCCCCAACCCTTGGATCTAACAGCAACTCACGACTAACTTCAGCGTCCCTTCTCCTTCGAATCATTTTGATCTTGAGATGGACATATAAATATAGGCATACACACACACAAACACACACACACAGACATACAAAGGCTTGTTCGTTTCACGCCTCATCACTAGCTTCCAGTTCAAAACTTCCCTCTAACTGAGCCTCCCAGAAAAACAATGTTAATGGAGGCGGAGGAGGCAAAGAGAATCCCTCCGATCGTTATTTCCGGCAAATGCACCTCTTTGTTTGGATCCCCTTGACAGGCACAGAGGACGATCCCCCTCGCTGTTCGGCCGAGTGGGCGCGGGAGTTCTCTTACCGTTCCCAAGGACGAGCTGTCGCTTTCAGGAAACTGGGATGGGAGCTGGGGAGTGGAAGGGCTACTCAAGCGCCACGCTGGGAGGAGGGAGGGGGGACGGGAAGCAAGTTTTGGGTGAAGCCTTTTTCCTTTCACTTTTGGAAGCGCATCCAGGCGAAGAGAACAAAAGCGTCACCGCGGCCGGGACTCGGCGTGCAGCTCTTCCCAGCTTCTGACATCGCTACCTGTTGCACCGGGAGAAGGAGGGAGTGGTGGAAACGAGAGCATCCAGCGCACAACAAAGCGCCAGCCCTTTCACCTGTCCTCCTCCTCCTCCTCCTCAGCAGCAGCCACTTGACTCGACCGCCAAATACCGACAACAATACATTGGGGGGAGGGGATTGGGGAAGGGAGGCAAAGGAGCTCTACCCGGCAAGGGCGCATCTGGCTGGAAAATGGACCCGCGGCTTCAATAGTCCCGCAGAAGCAACAAGTCGCAGCCCGGACTCGCTCCACAAGCTGCGAAGCACCCAGGATGGCGCACGCACACGTATCCAGATCTGCCGGCCTGGAGTTCCGATACTCTTCATAACCTCCAGGCAAACCTGCTTCCATTGAGAGGATCGCAAACTACCACGTGGAGCAAGGGAGAAGCGCGCCCCAAATAATGCAGCTGCTAAAAGAAAATCCAGGGGGAGGGAGTGGGGATGGCCGTGTTATCCGTGCCCCAAGAGAGAAAAGTGACTCACCTAAGGGAGGGGAGGATTTGCTCTCCTAAATGGTGGACGGAACCAAGTGCCTGCTTGGCCCCCTCCCCCGCCAGTCAACAGCATCTCCCGCTTGTCCCCGTATCACCGCCGAAAGGCAAAGCGCACCACTCGATTTGGTTTGCGTTTAATTTTCTCATGCAAATTTACTCGATCTCGAGTGAAAAAATAACATACCGAAACGGAGGCGTGAAGTACACCGAGGAGAAACCGAGTCACGGATAATGGGTCGTGTAAGTCTCCCATCTCCCTTACTACCCCTCCCCCCAAAATAAACTCTTCAGCCACGTGCATTTAGAAATGGAAAAGGGCAAGCGTTGAGGGGATCTAGAATTATATAAAGTCTATGCAACCGGTCGCCGAATGCCTGCATGCACTTTTTTTGGATAATACAATGGGAGTCTGTGTTACTCCGGAAGGACAAAAACACTGAAACCATGATAAAGCTAAAACTCTTTCTTAGCACGTGCTAGCTGTGCAGAAACTCCGACCGTGCCTTGCTACCGAGCACCCGCCCGACCGCCATCAGCCTATTGGTCCCCTAGAACAGAGCGGGAAAATCTGGATGACATCACCTTTGTCCTCCAATCTGTGCGTGAGTATCTTCTGAGCTGGATCTCCAAGACCATTTCGTTGGGATTTCTTATACCGTACATACGGTACTGGGTTACTATACTCATGTTCCTCAGTAAAATAAAAGAGCCAATCTACCGGTGCAGAAGATTTAGGTAGCTATCCTAAAGGATTGCAAAGCAATATTAGGCAACTTTTGGGGACCTGGAACCTTCTGAGGTAAAATGGGACTCATAAAATGGCTGCCACAGGAGATTTTTCTGCTTACAAATGGTTGCTGTGAGTGGCTATAGCCAGGAACAGAGCTCCATTTATCTAATCAGGATGCTGCCTACCATTCACTAGAAACTCTGGGGCCAAAAGGCATTCCTGTAAATAAATACAATGCAGGAGGTTCCTGCTTCACTTCACTGTTTAATCTTGCTATTAGAAGACCCTTTAAGGAAAGTCAAGTGAGAGATGGAACATGGTGAACCTCAGAGGTTTTGGAACACAAGTACACCAGCAGGCACCAAGATGCAGACTTGTTCTAAACATGGGCCTTTCCAGAGAGGGGCAAGGTAACATAATGTGCATGATGATGTCCTTGCACAAATGAGGCAAACTGTTTATGTCATTGTGCAATGATGTCATGATGCAATTTTTTTAAAGTCCTGATAAAGATCTAGTTCATCAGGGAGAATAATTTCTTCTTTAGGCAATATATTTCCTATTCCAATAGAGGAGAATATATGTAGCTCAGGGTTGAACTATGGAGTTCTTGTTGCTCTCTGAGCTTGGTTGTTTGCTTGCAGACATTTCATGACCAACCAGGTACTGTAACATCATCGGTTCCTAGGAAGAAAACACAGAGACCAGAACACATCCTCTCCAGCTGCCCAGCACTCAGATAAGAAAGGATCAACACCAGACAAACAGGCAGAAAATAATACTCTAATCAAAGAACCACCGAGGAAAACCACATCCCCACCAAAACTGGCAGAGCAAACTATTATTTATAAACAGGCAGCAAACCCCACTGATGAGGTAACCTGGTTGGATAATGATAAGTCTGCAAGCAAACAACCAAGCTCAGAGAGCACCAAAACCTCCATATTGCCTACTTCCAGAACTAGTGGCATTGTGCATGTGTTTTGTGTTGAGGGGCATTAAATCTCCCATTTCCAGCAATCTGACGTATTACAAACATCTTACCAGTCTATAGCATCATTCCACTTTATTGATCTCATAGATTGGAGAGATTCATATGGCCCGATACACTGTGCTAAAGATGTTTCTGAAAACCTGGCTTTCTCTCCAGACTGGGTTAGAGTAGATGGTGAACCTCTTACGGTTTCTTGTTTTTGTTTGTTTGTCTGACTGTCTGTTCTTCTGGATGCATATTGTTCTTTTGTTCATTTTTTTTTTGTTGTTCTGACTTTTTTTTTTAATGCTGTATGCCTCCCAGAGGGTTTACAGAATTGGGCCGACTTCTAAATTTGACAAATAGATAAGAGGCAATGCTGATTTATATATTACATGATCCTGGCATATTTTTTCTTGAACAACTACTGAGCGAGCTACAAATCCTTGGAAGAAATAGTAGGAGACATGAGTGCCTTCAGAGGCATTTGGGTATTTCTGTAGAAAGTCCAAAAGACTTTGAGAGTTTCTCAGCATCCTAACTGATGCAAGGTCTTTCCTGCCTATTTCTTTATAGGCATAGTAGGGTATGAATAGAGGGTTTAGAAATGCAAATAAAATCAGGGTATGTAACTGTCTGAACTGCTTGCAGATAAGGCAGATGGGACTGAAGAGGAGAGAGAAGTTATTCATACCTGCAGTGCCTGAGCTGAGGTAATACCTATCCTGCTATTTAGCTGTTCCTCATCTCTTCCAAGATATCTAAGATATACTTGAAAACGTGTCTACATTAAATATGTAAATGGTACCCATCACATTAGTTCTAGCTTCACAATTGACAATACAATCCTACACTTTCTACTCAAGAAGTACATTTCATGGAGTTCAGTAGTACATACTGTACTCACAAATAAGTGGGTATAAGATTGCAGTCTAACATACATATATATTTTGTTGCAATGGATAGATGGGTAATAACATGAAATTATTTTAAAGTTAATATAGTTCGCCTTGTGATATTTGTGTAATATAAAGTACTATTCTTAGGTTATAGGTGATAAACTAATAATAGAGACAGGTTTTCATTTGAGATATTCATCTAATTCCAAAATCAACGTTTGCCATTACTAATCAAATCTGAAAGCAGCATGGTTGCTATCTCATCTAATCATCTATAGCATTCAGGTATCCCCCATTTTGCACCAAGCAAGGTAGTCTTGGTTACGATCTCCTACAGTTTGGTGTACCTGTAAAGCTCACAAATGAAATAAGGATCTCCAAGCAGTTTAAGCAACTGCATAAACACTCCTCTGCTTAAATGCATATTATATATTTTAATGAATTGTATAGCCAAAAGTATCTGTAACATGAGAAATAGCTTTGGACATAATCAAACTCATATTAGCTCATATATTGCCAATTGTCAAGGCAGTGATCAGGTGGCCAAGCAATTGGTTCTTTTAGTTCTTTTAGATCCAGAGACAATGGACACACCACCAGGTGAGGAGATTTTAAGCTTTATTGTTAACTCTAGCAAACAGATTTAAGCAGGAATATAAGAATTAGCAGATAGAATTAAACAGAAATACAAAAGCATAGTATAAAAGCATAACATACCAAGCAAGATGATAAAACTCTTCCCCTACTGTCAGGAGCTACCATAAGGTCAGTATAAAAGCATAACATACCAAGCAAGATGATAAAACTCTTCCCCTACTGTCAGGAGCTACCATAAGGTCAGTATAAAAGCATAACATACCAAGCAAGATGATAAAACTCTTCCCCTACTGTCAGGAGCTACCATAAGGTCCCTGATACCAAGGCCTGTGCCCATGCTCCAAGACTCAAGGGGCAATACCAGGGTTTTTATCAAAGTCTGGTACGGCAGTCTCATGACTCTGTTTCCGTGGCACTGAGACTGTGGGAGTGACCTTGGCCAGATAGTTCCCAGGATCTGAGAACTACACAGATAAGCTAGTGCTTAACCTAAACAATCCTGAGGGTTTCCCTCCCCCCACCACACTTCTAAGTAGAAGTGAAAAACAAGCCAGCTAAACATGATGACTCAGTGAACTTTCTTAACATGTGCGGGAGAAATCAAAATATGTCACCTAAACTCCTCGATATAACCATGGTCTTCCACATTGCCACTACAACTCAGTACCACATTAAACATCCCAGTCATGTGAAATGGGAAAAACTACAAGTCAATGTCATTATTTTTTACTCTTGGGTAGTGTGCTATCACCCATATTTCAAAATACCTGTGGCCAATTCAGACTTCCAGTCATGTATCTCTGGAGAAGATTAAACCTGCAATCAGGAGTTGATATTTTGACTATACCAAGCAATAATGTGTGGGGGGTTTTTTTCTTATGTATTTTGTGAACTAGCCAAATGTAGTTTATTCAGTGAATCTTGGATAAACAAGCCATGTCTTGGTGAAATGTGTGAATCCAATTTTATTGATATAGAATATTAAGAACATGCTACACCTCTAGAAGAGAGCCAGTCTGGTGTAGTAGTTAAGGCATCAGGCTGGAAACTGGGAGATCATGAGTTCTAGTCCTCCTTTCAAGATGAAGCCAGCTGGGTGACCTTGGGCCAGTCACTCTCTCTCAGCCCTAGGAAGGAGACAATGGCAAACCACTTCTTGCCAATGGAAATCTTGCCAAGAAAATGGTACAGACTTGTCCAGGCAGTCACCAGGAGTCAACACTGACTCAAAGGCACACACCTCTAG